CTTCCCAAGTAGCTGGGACTACAGGCAGCTGCCACAATACCCAGCTATTTTGTTGTTGTTGTTGTTGTTGCAGTTTGGCCGGGGCTGGGTTTGAACCCACCACTCTTGGTATATGGAGCTGGCACCCTACCCACTGAGCCACAGGCACCACCCATGCCCAGCTATTTTTATTGCAGTTGTCATGGTTGTTTAGCTGGCCTGGGCTGGTTTCAAACCCAGGCTGTGCCCCATATGGTACCATATATATGTGGCTGGCACCATAACCACTGTGCTATGGGCGCCAAACCTGCAAAAACTTTTATTATTACTTGAATGATGATCCTAACAGAAACTCCATATGCACATATTCTGGATCCTCTGGGGGACCGAGCAGAGCTCTGGGACCTGAATTGTGCTGAGATCCGGTGGAGGCAAGGGCCCCTCACAGCAGATGTTCCCTGCATGCTGCCTGTATGTAGGCCTGGGTGTTCCTGCCCTCCTGGATCTGGTTTGAATGTACATGGAAGCTTGAAATCAAGATTTAGAGATACCACAAGCTATGATTTATCACTCATTTACTGTGTCCCCTCAAAATTCCTCTATTAAGCCAGGTACAGTGTCTCAGGCCCATAATCCTAGCACTCTGGCTGGCTGAGGCAGGAAGATCCCTTGAATCCAGAGTTCAAGATCAGCCTGAGCAAAAGGGAGACCCTGCCTCTTCTAGAAATAGAAAAATTAGCTGGGCAATATGGTACACGCCTATAGTCCCAGCTACCTGGAAGGCTGAGGCAGGAGGGTTGCTTGATCCCAGGAGTTTGAGGTTGCTGTGAGCTAGACTGATGCTACCACACTCTAGCCTGGGCAACCAAGTGAGACTCTGTCTCCAAAAAAAAAAGAAACAAAATTCCTCTGTTACAGTTCTAACCCCTAGTACCTCAGAATGAGACTATATGTGGAGACAGGGTCTTTATTTTTATTTATTTATTTTTTTAGAGACAGAGTCACACTTTATCACCTTCAGTAGAGTGCCGTCCGTGGGGTCACAGCTCACAGCAACCTCCAACTTCTGGGCTTAGGGGATTTTCTTGCTTCGGCCTCCTGAGTAGCTGGGACTACAGGCATCTGCCAATACGCCCAGCTATTTTTTTGCTGTAGTTTGGCCAGGGCCAGGTTTGAACCCGCCACGCTATTATATGGGGCTGGTGTCCTACCCTCTGAGCCATAGGCACCTCTGGAGACAGGGTCTTTAAAGGATTGATTAAGGTAAAATGAGGCCCTGGGGTGGGCTCTAATCTACTCTAACTTGTGTCTTTATTAGAAGAAATCAGAGT